AAACATTGACGTGAAAGGAACACATCGAGTGCCTGCCACCCGCACAACCGACCAGGGCCGGGGACAAACTGCAACCGAGGTACGCGCCCTTAGCGGGAACCGAACCAGGGTCTCTCAGGACCGCAGGCCGACGCTCTAACCGCTGAGCCAAACCGGCCCGGGCAAATATTTTTCTATTTATCATTAGATAGAGTGGGAGGGAGGGAGAGAGAGAAGCATCAATGTGAGAGAGACACATTGACTGGTTGCTTCCCAGGGCCGGGGACGAACCGCAACCAAGTTATATGCCCTTGACCAGAATTGAATCCATGACTTATTGGTCTGTGGGCTGATTCTCTAACCACTGAGCCAAACCGGGCAGGGCCAGGTTGTTACTCTTTCCATAAGGTCAAGTAGTCCCCCTTGTCTTCAGATTAGGAGAATGGACAACATTCCTGAGGTAAGCTCCTGAGGCGCACACCTCCTGGCCAGGTCAGAGTGGCTTTTCTTAAATCAGAACAAAACAATCATGATTAATATTGTAAAGGATGATTAATACTTCTTATAACTATGGCTAGTACACCACTATAATTAGTGCTCTATTCTATTATTCTCTCCCACCCCTTTCAGAACCTGCAACCCAGATATGTGCCCTTGACCGGGAATCGAACCCGAGACCCATCAGTCCTCAGACCAATGCTCTAACCACTGAACCACACTGGCCAGGACATCATTCATCTTCAAACTAATTTATTTAACTCTGGCTAGTGTGGCTCAGTGGTTGAGCGTTGACCCATGCACCAAGAGGTCACTGGTTTGATACCCAGTCAGAGCACATGCCCAGGTTTCAGGCCCAATCCCCAGTGGGGGGCATGCAGGAGGTGGCCAGTTGATGTTCTCTCACATTGATGTTTCTATCTGTCTCGCCCTCTCCCTTCCTCTCTCTCTAAAGCATCAATAAACAAAAAAATTTTTTTTTAATAAATGTTATTTAATATTTGAAAATGTTAGCTTTTTCTCCTCTTTTATTCCTTGAACTTGAATTTCCATTCCACTTCCATATGTTTTATAATTTTTTGGCCATCCTTTCATGTCTCAGCCAAAAATATGTAAATAAAAATAAATAAACTTTTCTTGTGACTAAAGCTCTAAGTATATAACAAATTTTTCTTATGGAATGAATTACCATTAAAATGATTAGAGATGCTAAGTTGACACAAGGAATTTAAATGTAATTTTATAATTATACATTGCCCTGGCAGGTTTGGCTCAGTGGATTAGAGCATCGGCCCGCAAACCAGAGTCCTGCATTTAATTCTGGCCAAGAGCACCTACCTTTGTTGTGATTCATCCCCTGCCCTGCTGGGGTTGTGCGGGAGGCAACCAATCAATGTGTCTGTCTCACACATTGATGTTTCTCTCTCTTTCCCTCCCTCCCTCTCTCTCTGAAAATAAATGGAAAAATATCCTCGGGTAAGGAAAAAACAGAGAAAATAAATAAATAAATAATTAATTATACATTAATTTTTCATGGAATTGCTTCCCTTAAGATGAGCTAAATGGTATTGGTTCTTTTAGTAGCATGTATCTGTAGATGAATATATATGATTTACTGCTAAAGTATGATAGGACTCAGCATCAATTTTATTCCAATTTTTGGTTTTTATAGATGTGATCCCTGAGAAACCTGGTTCACATAAATAAGAAATATAAATGGACAAGTTTGTTAGAGCAATGTTACTCAAGTCTTTGAACTTCTAAGTTATATGCCCCAAATCACATTGATCTATTCTCAGTAGTATTTTGTTGTTATTCAAAGAAAATGAAAATTGTCTGGCTTGCAAGAAAGGATGCAACTTAGTCGTATTAAGAAATATCTCAACCTCTGGGAAGTTTCCAAGACTTATTGAATGATAATTATGTTGTAATTCTTTTAATAAAGTTTTCTTTTGTTTTTATCCTCACCCAAGGACATTTTTCCATTTTTTGTTCAGATAGAGTGGGAGGGAGAGAGAGAAAGAGAGAAACATCGACGTGAAAGGGACACATTGAGTGGCTGCCTCCTGCACGAGCCAACCAGGGCCAGGGACAAACTGCAACTGAGGTACGTGCCCTTAGCGGGAACCAAACCCTGGTCTCTTTGGACCGCAGGCCGATGCTCTAACTGCTGAGCCAAACCGGCCAGGGCTGTTGTAATTCTTTTATATACTTAGTTGCCTTGTTTAACCCAGAACACTCAAAATTGTTGGGGACATCTAAATATTGCTTATTTTATTACACTTTTGCCAACACAATATTATTTGACCAAAAGACTTGGTTTATATTTATATGCACTTCAAATTCATTTTCATCAAAATATTGGAGCTACAGTTTGGCTCACTTAACTTATGGAACATGTTCATCAAGGTAATGGCACATCCTAGAATATTGAGACTGGCTGAAAATAATTACATATAATTTGGCGGGGTTCACTTTCTAAATTCAGAATACCCTGCAGAGGATTAGACGTGACCCCTCTCTCCTTAGACCAAGTTTTCTTAGCTAAGTGCAATAAAGCAGTGAGGGATTGGAAGCTCTTCATGTTGTTGGTGACTTGATTACTTGTAAAGGAGGCACTGTACCATGTGATGTGTGGGACATGTGTGGGACTTTCTGTGCCCAGGCAATGCATCAAAAGGATAGAGTACATTGACACTCTCTGTGGAATGAAAGAAGAAAAAGTGCCTGTGAAACAGAAAGGTACGGAAATCGATTTCCTTAAAACATCAGGGCCTGCCTAGTCCTCTACAAGACTTCCTGGATATGTATTGTAATTTGAAAATCACTAGTTTATAGACCTGGGCCCACTGTCTTGTGTAAAGTTAAATCTTTACAAATTGCTTTTATGGTTATTGTTCTGTTCAGGATTACACCTTAACTCTGGATGAAGTTTTATAATTTTTATTTCCTTTGCCCATTATCCATTTCATTAAGTTTTCAAATTTATAAATGTAATACATAGAATTATCTCAACATTTAAAAGTAATTAAGCCACCCCTACCCCAAACGCTTTACTTTTTTTTTTTTCTCCACAACCAAGATGAAATGTTTAGACGGATTTTCCTTTCCCAGAGCTAGTCAGGTTTTGCTGAGAGAATGGAGAATGTTTAGTCCTACCCAGGCTATATCAAGTCTCAATAATATTTACTTAATGCCTTTATTATAAATTATTCATAACATTGTTATTTTTAATTTAGCTACATACATATATATACTTTTAACTTTATGTCCATATTAATTAATGCTCATAAAAGAAAAACAGGTAAGCAAAGGATTAACATCCGGGATATACAGATCAATCCAAGTTAAGATGTTTTTTTTAACCAGCCTTGTGGAAACAAGGCCTCCAAAAATTAGGTTGCCTCCCCCCAAAAAAATGGGAAAGAGAGTATCCAAGTTAAGATTTAACAAGCAATTCACAGACTAGGAGACTGAACCTGACGATTAAACTCAGTAGTAACTAGACAAGTTCAAACAAAGACAATATGATACCCCCACCCCACTTCCAACTGACAAATGTTAGAAAGACCCCCAGGGTCGGTGCAGCCATGTGGAGAAGAGTGACATAGTGCAGAGATGGCAACGCCCCCTGCCTCCGAAGGGCCCTTCCTGCCTGGAGTATTTACCCACCTGGACTGTTAAGAGTTGAAGGCCTACATTTTTACAAAGTTTCTTTGATAACAGTTTTCTAGGTTTGAGGGGACATTTGGCAAGCATCTGTCCTGGATATCTATTACTGATTGAACACAGTTTTTAAACCTCAAAACAAAGCTGTTAGAGTTTTGTTTAGGTGGGTGATGGGCTTGTGAAAGAATTTATAACTGAGAAAAGAGAAAAAAGGGAGGACATTTATTTGTCTTTCCCCATAGACAAGGAAAGGACCCATGTACTGACTGGCAGTACAAGGGCAGGGCAGAAAGAGCGAGTTGCTCTTTTATTGGGGGCTTTAGGGAGGGGGTTGTATTTGAAGTCAAACAAATGTGGGTCTGGTGGTAGTTGCTTTGAGGAATATAGGTTTGTTGATTCTTTAGGAGACAGTTTTGCCAGTGCACCATATGCCTGGGAGTAAAGAGAAAAAGGAGTTTCACTTGAAGGGGTTGCAAAGAATTGGAAAGTGGAAGATTTGTTTGAAAGGTTAAAGGAGAAGGGAAGTTTCTATTCATTAGAGGCTCTTTGGTGTGAATTACTTTTGACATGCTAAAACTGCTGACAAGAGCCCATTCCTTATCTATTTAATGTTTGGATAGAAAGGTGGTTTAAAGTTGCAGACACCAGCAATCTCCATGTTTAAGTACCAGATGCTTCTCATAAATTGGGGGGGGGGGGTTCATAAAATATGCCAAATCCTATCTTCTGTCCTTACAAAAAGGACAAAGTTAATGGCTTTGAAACGGAAAGACAGCTGAGTTTATTTTATTCTAACGCTTTTATTTACAAAAGTGAAAACTCATCGTACACTAATTGTGAACCAAAGGTGAGCAACAATTTGAATGTGAGTCAGAAATGAATGGCAGATGATAACCAGAAAGATCGAGGATGGCACCAACACCAAAGAGCAGGTAGCAACACCCAAAATGGTGACCAGCCCGCAACACTACGTCCACACACTCTGTGGGTGTGGCCTCGCTGGGTTCATCCAATAGAAATGTCTGAAGGTGGAGCACCTTCTCCAGCTTGGGGCGGGGCTTCCTGCAGTTTGAGCCTATGGGTGAGCTGAAAGTAGAATGCTAGGTGGGAGAGAAGACAATAACACAAAAACCATTTGGGAGAGGCCTTTGGTGCCCAGGTGATCCATATGCGGCTGTGACCTCCAGGGATCAGGGGCTGGCTGACTGTAGACCCCAGTAATCCGCACATTTGCACCCTGTGCTGACCGCCTGCTTCCCACCTGGCCAGCCTTGCTTTTCTTGCCCCGCGTCCAACCTCCTCGCCCAGAGCACATTCAGTCCACTGAGGAAGCTGTACCTGCTTATGCCCTACAGCTTCCAAGGGCCAGATGACGGAGGAGCGTGCCAACCTGATGCACATGATGAAACTCAGCATCAAGATCTTGCTACAGTCGGCCCTGAGCCTGGGTCGCAGCCTGGATGCTGACCATGCCCCCTTGCAGCAGTTCTTCGTGGTGATGGAGCACTGCCTCAAACATGGCCTGAAAGGTGAGCCTGAGGGCATCTGGGGTTTAGCATGTACTCATCAGTGCCTATCGTTGTTCTAGGTGCTAGCAATGTACAAAATATACAAGGTCCTGCCCGCAAGATGCGACATTCTTGAGCAACGCTGTCCCATAAAAATTGTCATACAAGCCACGTGTGCAATGCTTAATGTTCTAGTAGCCACATTTAAAATATATATATATTAAAAGAAACAAGTGAAATTAGTGGTAATGGTATATTTTATTGAATTGCGTATGTCCAAAATACCATTTTGATAATCAGCATTAAAAAGCCTTATTGAGATGGTTTGCATTCTTTTTTATACTAAGACTTGAAAATCCACTGTGTTTTATATTTACAGTATGTCTCAATTGCACTAGCTACATTTCAAGTGCTCAGTAGCTCATGTGGCTTGTGATAACCTTGGACAGGAGTTCTAGGTGAGGAGGTAGATGATAAATGCAGAAACAAACCAACATAATTATAAAATGCTACAAATTCAAGAAAGCAAAATGGGTTAAATGATAGAGAATCAAGGGAAAAACCTTTCAGCTAGGGTAAAAGGGTAAGTTTTTGTCTGGGGAGGTGAAATGTCAGCTGAGACATACAGGAGAAGAAGGAGTCAGTCATGCAAAGATTTGGGGAAATAAAAAATAAAAAAACAAAAACCGGGTTCAAAGGTCCTAAGTGGGGCCATCCTTGGTTTGAGGAAGACACCAGGTACCTGGGGGATGCTGAGAGGAGGGAGGTGGAAAGAACTGAATATGTAAGCCTTTATAAGTCAGGTGAAGAATTGGATTTTATTCTAAGAGTATTTGGAGGATTTTAAGCAAGGGGAAAACATGACCTGACTTCCATTTTTAAAAGAACCCCAGCTATGTGGAATACAGATTGTAAGGGTGGAGAGGTGATGCTATTAGTAGCACTGACACTCATTAGGAGGTTATCACAGCAGTGCAGATGAGGAATGGTGGTGGATGTCCATTTGAAATCAAGCATTGATTTTGGCATCAGGTAGGAAGTAGAAAGGGGAAGGATTTCGCAAGTGATCATATGAGGGACTTGTTTTATCTCATGGACAAGTAAATACTTGGAGAAAGAGCATAGTAGGTACATTAGAGAATCCCTGTTCCCAGAAGAAGGAAGAGCTCATTTGTTACTTGGCCTCTCCCAGTCCCCAGGACTAAATCTGAAGAATTAAGTGGGAGGATTAAATCTGAAGCATTTATTTGGCTTTTAGAAGAGAGACCATGAATTCCTGAAGACATTTTGCAACCTCTTCTTATGACTAAAACTTTTGTTTTTCCTTTTAGTTAAGAAGAGTTTTATTGGCCAAAATAAATCTTTCTTTGGTCCTTTGGAGCTGGTGGAGAAACTTTGTCCAGAAGCATCAGATATAGCCACTAGTGTCAGAAATCTGCCAGAATTAAAGTGAGTAAGAAATCATTACACTGATTTGATGTTTTAAAAACTCCCTCATATTTACCTATTTCTCAATTCTTTGCTGATAAAACATTTTCTAATTTAAGTTCATGAGCCACACTCTACTTAGACTTTAGTCTCAGTTCTGCTGCTCATTAGCCACATGATCTTGAGCAAGATTTACCCCTTTCTGAACTTCAATTTATTTATTTATTTTTCTTCCTTTATTGATTCTACAGAGAAAGGAAGGGAGAGGAAGAGAGAGATAGAAACATCAATGAGAGAGAACATTGATTGGCAGCCTCCTGCATGCCCCCCACTGGGGATTTGTCCCACAACCTGGGCATGTGTCCTGATTGGGAATGGAACTGGTGACCTCTTGAGCATGGGTTGATGTTCACCCACTGAGCCACACCAGGCAGGCATCAGTTTACTTCTCTTTAAAATGGGGGTAGTGATTCCTGCTTGTCACACAAGATTATGTAGGGTGAAAGTGGATTGTCATAGAGAAGTAGTTACAGGAGGAAAAGGAGTCATGGTTACAATCCTGGAATCACTGCTTCAGATATATCTGGGAAGTTTTCTGAATAAAAGTCTGGACCAGATTTTAGATTCCAGAACAAGGGACATTTGTGAAAAGGCTGGGACTAACAAATCATTTCCCATGTCTTGATTTGTCCTTGGATCCCTATTATTGACTCAAAATAAATAACTGGACAGAACACAAACAAGGCATCATCATGGACTCTCATTTAGAAGAGGCCCTTGGGCTGATGCAAAAGAGGCCCCTGGGACTACCCAGCCTCTGTTTGACTCTCTTCCTGTGGAGCCAGCCTGATCCATCTTCAGACAATAATAGCTACCATTTACTAAGGGTGTGCCATGTGCCAGGCATTATGCTAGGGATGTTTCATTACCTCATTTAATCCTTCACAACAAGCCTCTAGGAAAGCTATTGGTATCTCTAGTGACAGGCATGGAAAGTGAGACTCAAAGTGGTTGAGTAACATGCCCAAGGTCCCTTGGCAAGAAGCGAGTAATAGCCAGGAAGAGAACACATGTCTCTTGGACTGAAACCCTCTAAATCCCACCAAGCCCTGTTACTGCAGAACTCTGTGAAATAAGCAAATTACAGGACAGCATATATAACATTAATTTTTGTTGTTTTTTGTAAAAAGGGGAGAAAAAAATAAGAATTTGTATTTGTTTTCATGTGCCTAAAAATATTTTGGAAATAAACCTAAACTAAAAACAGTATGTTAATGTATGGGGAAGGGGATCAGGGGAAAAATTAAATATTAAACCATACATACATACTGTTTTGTAGGCTTTGTTCCCATTTCATATTAGATTTTAGACCTCTTTTCGTATCAGATATTCATTCGCATCATTTTTGAAATGGGCACATAACCTTCCGTTGTCCAGTTCATTTGTTAAATGCCCCTTTGGGCTTCGTAGTTGTCTTCAATGCTCATTCCCCAAATAGTGCATTGATGACCATCCCAAACATACCTCTTGTACATCCTAATCATTTCCTTAGGATGTATTACTAGATGTAGGATTCTGATAACCAGCAGCCTCCAAGCTGCCTGCTGGAAGAGTTGTGCCAATTTAACCTCCACTGAGCAGCCTGTCAGTGTCCATTTTTCACATCATGCCATTGTTAAATACCTCTTTTTTTTTCCTAGATTTTCTTTCCTTTTCACTCTGGTTCTTTTTTTTTTTTCCTCATCATTTATTTGTGGGGTGGTGGTGGTGGAGTTGGGATGTTCAGAGCCTTTTGTATTGATGAAGTTAGATGAACCCTGTGGGCCTGGCTCCTGAGGTCACTGGGGTGCACAGCCAGGCTGTGGCCCTAAGAGCACCCTCTGGTGCAAATACTGATCACAGCAGTACCTCTGTACAATGCATCTAGGTCTATGGTTGGGAAGCTTTCTTCCAATGTTTAAAGCAGGCCTTTTCAAGTTTGCACCTTTGATATTGGTTGCACAACAATGTGAATGCACTTAACACTACCAACCAATACACTTAAAAAGGTAAGTTTTATGTTATATGTTTTTACCACAGTTATTTTTAAATTGTACCTTTGAGCTAATACCTCAGAAACTTTGTGAGACTTCAACACTTTAACAAGCACTAATGATGTTGTGTATTAATCTTTGAAAGACTATCCCTTACACAAAACTAATCTAATATTTCCTGGATCCTGTGAAATTTTATTAATATATCAAAGTTTTATCTGATTGTATTTGTTCCAGGAATCAGATTTTTGTGGTTTAAGATTTTTTTCCTCTTCTGTCAAAATTAAAAACGATACAAAACACGTCTGTGATACAAAAATCAAACAGTACCCAGAGAGATATATAGTGAGAAAACTGCCTTCCCTGACAATGTGCGCCCCAGTCCCCAAAGCAGCTATTCTTATAATGTTCTCTGCATTCACAAGCATGAATGTGTGTATCTCCAGGGCTAACTTGTCTTTTTGTGTTGTTTTTTTTTTGTTGTTATTGTTATGCCATAACAGTTTGATTGTCTACTTGAATTCTAGGACAGCTGTGGGAAGAGGCAGAGCTTGGCTTTATCTTGCACTTATGCAAAAGAAACTGGCAGATTATCTGAAAGTGCTAATAGACAATAAACATCTCTTCAGGTATTTAATCACCTATCTTTGTTTGTCTTTTGCTTTGAATTAAAATAGAGTCTATAATATATAGAGCTTTTATTCAAATTATTATTAATCATAACTTCTCTGGCTTACTTTTAAAATAGTACTTTTTTTTAAAAATATGTTTTTATGCCCTGGCCAGTTTGGTTCAGTGGTGAGAATGTCGGCCTGTGGTCCAGAGAGACCTGGGTTCGGTTTCCGCTAAGGGCATGTACCTCGGTTGCAGTTTGTCCCCGGCCCTGGTTGGTCGTGCAGGTGGCAGCCACTCGATGTGTCCCTTTCAGGTCGATGTTTCTCTCTCTCTCTTCCTCTCTCTTCCTCCCACTCTATCTGAACAAAAAATGGAAAAATGTCCTCGGATGAGGATAAAAAAATTATTTTTTAAATTGTTTTTATTGATTTTTTCAGAGAGAAGAAGGGAGAGAGAGATAGAAACATTGATGTGAGAAATATCAATCGGCTGCCTCCTGCATGCCCCCTACTGGGCATCGAGCCTGCAACCCAGGTATGTGCCCTGACGGAGAATCTAACCAGGAACTCTTAGTCCATGGGAAGACACTCAATCCACTGAGCCACACCAGCTGGACTAAAATAGTTATATTTTATGTTTTGAGCACTGATATCTGAAAGTTGATATGAATGACTGAGATTTATATTACTTTCTATTTTTTAAAATCATTTTGAAGATAATTCTTCAAAAATACCTAAGATTAGGTAGTTGACAATGTACTCCATTAAATTTCAACAACATTTTATTTATTAGTTTGGATAATAACAGGAATAAATGACTTTAGAAGTAAATGCTTTTTGTAATACCTTACCTATTTTATTTATTTATTTTATATATTTACTTTTTATCTTCACTCAAGGACATTTTTACATTTATCCTCAGATAGAACAGGAGGGCGAAAGGGAGGAAGAGAGAGAGAAACATTGATGTCAGAGAGACACATTGAGTGGTTGCCACCTGCACAACCCCAACTGGGGCTGGGGACAAACTGCAAACGAGGTATGCACTGTTAGCGGTAACTGAACCCAATACTCTCTGGACCGTGGGTCAATGCTCTAACCGCTGAACCAAACCAGCCAGGGCATATCTTACCTATTTTAGGATTCCATATCCAGTCTCTAAAATTTTATATCTCCTAGCATCAGTCAAGACTAACTGGCTATCTCTGAAATTTATGACTGGTTCATATTTGATATTTATTTATTTATTTTCTTTGTTGATTTTAGAGAGAGGAGAAGGGAGAGAGAGACAGAGAGAGAGAAACATCAGTGAGAGAGAACATCAATTGGCCCCCCTCCTGCGTGCCCCACACTGGGAATTTGGCCCACAACCTGGGCATGTGCCCTGACTGGGAATTGAACTGGCAACCTCTTGGTGCATGGGTTGACGCTCAACCACTGAGCCACATTGGCCGGGCCATATTTGATATTTATAACTATAAGCAAAAATAATCACTATGAAAGGAATTTTTTTGTAGAATATGAGACTTTGTAAGGGAAGAATCTAGAGTTAATTTTCTTACCTAATTGAAATAAAAATATCTTTTACAGAATGGCCTGCCACCCCAAATTTTTCATTATTTTCAAAATCATGGCTTATTATTGCTATATCTTTACATGATAAATACTGATTTCAAATATGTCATATCCTTTGTACTTTGAGCATAGTTACACTGAGTAATTTTGAGATACAGATTATGTCTTAAAAACTGATTCTTAAGACAGTAAGTTCTCATGCACGTGCACACACACAATAGTAAATTAGCAGATCAGTGGTGACCAGAAGCAGTCAGAGATGGGATGAAGCCCCACTGCAAACAGCCATGGTGATGGCCTTAAGGAAGTAAGAGCAGCCAGTGTTGCTCTATTGGACATGTGGAAGAGGGAAGAATTTTATTCTTGGGTGTGGGAATTGTTCACAGCAATGTGGAAAAAGGAGCCTGTGGGGACAGGAGGGGCAGAATGATGGTCAGGAATGTAGAAGCCAAGAGGAGGTGAGAAGGACTGGCGCCAGGGTCCAAATGGCAGAGTTCACCATAGACCAGAGCTAGAAAGAGCCCTTTCTAAGCCATAGGAAGAGAAGAGAGGCCAGAGAAGAAACAGCAGCAGTTGCAGCAGGAGAGGGAAATGAAAGGTGGAAGGAAGTTCACACAAGGGAGCTTCTGGCAGCCAGGCCATGAGCTGAGAGATAGAAAGGCAGGTTGTTGGGGGTGGGGAGAAGGGTTGGGGAAAAGGAGTGGTGAGGGCATTCCTGAATGGCTCCCCTGGCTATCAATCTCTTGCAGTGAGTTTTATGAGCCAGAGGCGTTAATGATGGAGGAAGAGGGGATGGTGATCGTCGGTCTGCTGGTGGGACTCAATGTTCTTGATGCCAATCTGTGCTTAAAAGGAGAAGACTTGGATTCTCAGGTAAAGCGGGAAGTTGGATCCAGATGAAATTATTTCTCTAGGCCAGGGATTTTATGTAGAATCTGCAGACAGTGCTGAACCTCAGACAGGGACAAAGGGTATCTGACAGAGGGCTGTGTGAGGTACTGTGCTGGGGTAGAAGTGGAAGCAGCTAGGGAAGGGTAAAGAAAGAGCTTGGGCAGAGGTACACAGAAAGCACGGCATGTTTGTGAACAGGAAGCAGTTTTCTGTGACTAACACAGGATGCTCCATGAGGAAGGTGGAGGCTGAGCTCAGATGTTGGGCCACCAGTGCCATGCTAAAGGCTTTAACATTGTCCCTGAGCTTATTTTTTTAATCTTCACCCGAGGACATTTTTCGATAATTTGTTCAGATAGAGTTGGAAGGTAGAGTAGGAGGTAGAGAGAGAGAGAGAAACATCGACGTGAAAGGGACACGTCGAGTGGTTGCCACCCGCACAACCCAACCAGGGCCCGGGACAAACTGCAACCGAGGTACGTGCCTTTAGTGGGAACCAAACCCAGGTCTCTCCGGACCGCAGGCCAACACTCTAACCACTAAGCCAAACCGACCAGGGCTGTCCCTGAGCTTTAAGAAACTCTGAGAGGTTTTTAAAGCCATACAGTGAAATGATCAGGTCAGAGTTTGAGAATGATCAATCTAGCAACATCCAGATCATGACTTAGAAGTAGCCAAGAATAGACACAGCAAAAACATTGAGCAGACAAGTCTACAAGTCCCAGAAGATTGGATGGGGAATAAGGAGATAGAGTCAGGAGAGATTTGGGAAGTCAGGCTAATAATACAAGGGCACAAAGGAAAGTAGAAAGGTACAGAGAGTTGGGACAGCCCTCTTAGGATGGGAGCCAGTGACCAGGGATGAGGCACAATCTCCTGGTGTCTGAGGGGGACAGACACCCTGACTCATCCCCACCTTTCTTCAGGGCAAGAAAGGCATCTTTATCTGTGGCTAAGCCACTATCCTGCCTTCTGCCAACCACATGATTAAACCTAGAGACTCTAAAGCTTCCTTAATCCCTCCATGCCTAGATCAGTGCTTTTTTTCCCCCCAATAGTTTTGTTGTTTTTGCATGTTGAAAAAAATTTTTTAAATACAGAGATGTATTTTTTTAAAGAAACTAAATGTCACACATAATCCCATTACTCGGAGACAACTAAATTAAGTGTTACATTTTGGTATACAGTATATCTTTCCAGCACCTGAATAAGCAGGGTGTGTGTGTGTGTCTTAGAGAGAGATGTTTGGGGTTTGTTTGTTTTTTAACCAAAATATGATTATTTAAAGCAGACCATTATAATTTATTTATTTATCTCTTTAAACTTATCTTTACTGTTGAATGAATTACAGATGTCCCTCTTTTTTTCCCCCCTTGACCTCCTCTTCCCCATTCCTTTCCCTCTCCTGCCTTCCCTACACTATTGTCGGTGTCCACTGGTTATGCATATATGCATATAAATTCTTTGGTTTCTCTCTTCCCACCCCACCTCCCCCTTTACCTTTGAGGTTCCTCAGTCTAACAACCAATTTGTACTTCTTAATCCCTTCACCTTTTCATCCATCCCTCCAACACCCCTCCCATCTGGCAAGAAACAAAACGTTCTCTGTATCTATGAGTCTGTTTCTGTTCTGCTTGCTCATTTTGTTTGTAGATTCAGTTGTTCATAGGTATGTATTTATTGCCATTTTATTGTTCATATTTTGTTCTTTTTCTCCTTCAAGAAGACCCGTCAACATTTCATATAATACTGGTTTGGTGGTGATGACCTCCTTTAGCTTTTTCTTGCCTGGGAAACTCTTTATATGGCCATCGATTCTAAATGATAGCTTTGTAGGATATTAAGAAGGCTCCATGAGCTGAGGACTGGAACAGCAGGGTTTCTTGGCCTTTCTGTCCACATGTGGTCTGTCCACTTGGTGTCCAGCATGATTGCTCAGGGTAGCCAGACTTCTTTCATGACAGCTCAGAATTTCAAAGGTCTGTGTCCCAAGAACAAGCACTAGGCTGCAGTAGTCATGGCATCATTTCTGCTGCTTTCTGAAGCACATCAATTTTTTTTTTCATTTATCTTCAGATCAAGCAGGAGGGAGAGAAGGGGGAAGAGAGAGAGAAACATTGATGTGAGAGAGACACATCGACTGGTCACCACCCACATGACCCCAACCAGGGCCGGGGACAAACTGCAACCAAGGTACATGCCCTTAGCAGGAACTGAACCTGGGACTCTCTGGTCCACGGGCCAGTGCTCTAACCACTGAGCAAAACTGGCCAGGGCTCTTTTTTTTTTTAATTTATGCTTTTTAATTGATTCTTAGACAAAGAGGAAGAGAGAGACAGAGAGAGAGAGAAACATCAAGTGGCTGCCTCCCGTAAACACCCTGACTAGGGATTGAGCCTGCAACCTAGGTATGTGCCCTGACCGGGAATCGAACCCACCACCTTTTGGTATACAGGAACAAAGCTCCAACATACTGAGCCACCCAGCCAGGGCTTATTTCTGCTGCATTCTACATCAAGACCAACACTAAGACCTCCCAGGATCAAGGGTCAGGAATATAGATGGGTAGAAGGTACTACAGAGAAGTTGCAGAAACCAACCCACATAGCTTTGGTTTTTAACACAGGTGGGATTATGATAAGGAGTAAATGCTATACATGTTATTCTTCGACTTAAAATTTTATTGTGGAGCTTCCTTCATATCATTGCATATCCATCTGCTGCATTCTTTGGTATGGTTGCCTAGGGTTCTGGATCTTAGCAACTGTAAACAGTGCTGCTATGAACATAGGGGTACATATATTCTTTCTGATTGGTGTTTCAGGCTTCTTACGATATGTTCCTTGAAGTGGGATCACTGGGTCAAATGGCAGATCCATTTTTAATTTTTTGAGGAAACACCATATTGTTTTCCATAGTGGTTGCACCAGTCTGCATTCCCATGAGCAGTGTACTAGAGTGCCCTTTTCTCCACACTCTCACCAGCATTTGTTGTTTGATGATTTGTTGATGGCAGCCACTCTGGCAGGTGTGAGATGATACCTCATAGTTGTTTTAATTTGCATCTCTCTGATGATTAATGACATTGAGCATTTTTTCATATGTCTCTTGGCATATGAATTTGTATGTCCTTTTTGGAGCAGTGTCTATTTAGGTCCTCTGCCCATTTTTTAATTTGGTTCTTTGTCTTCCTTTTGTTGAGTTGTATGAGCACTCAGTATATTTTGGAAATTAGCCCTTTATCTGACATATTGTTGGCAATTATGCTCTCCCATATAGTGAGTTCCCTTTCCATTTTGATGGTTGTTTCTTTTGCTGTGCAGAAGCTTTAGCTTTAATAAACGAATTTGGCAAAGTAGCAGGATACAAAATTAACATCAAGAAGTCGACGGCATTCTCATACACCAATAATGAACTCACAGAAAGAAAAACTAAGAAACAATCTCATTTACCATTGCAGCAAAAAAATTGAGATACCTGGGAATAAACTTAACCAAACAAGTTAAGTACCTATTTGTAGAAAACTACAGGACATTGAAAAAAGAAATAGAAGAAGATATAAAAAAAGTGGAAGCATATATCTTGTTAATGGATTGGAATAATCAACATCTTTAAAATGTCCATACTACCCAAAGCAATCTATAGATTCAATGCAGTTCCCATCAAAATACCAACAACATATTTCACAGAACTAGAACAAATACTCAAAAAGTTCCTATGTAGCCAAAAAGACCCTGAATAGCCACAGCAGTCTTGAAAAAGAAAGACAAAGTGGGAGGGATCACAATACCGGATATCAGGTTATACTACAAAGCCATAGTAATCAAAACAGCCTGGTACTGGCACAAGAACAGGCATATAGATCAATGGAATGGAACAGAGAACCCGGAAATTGACCCAAGACATTATGCTCAATTACTGTTTGAGAAAGGTGACAAGAGCATACAATGGAGTAAAGACAGCCTCTTCAGTAAATGGTGTTGGGAAAATTAGACAGCTACATGCAAAAAAATGAAACTAGACCACCAACTTACACTGTACACAAGAATAAACTCAAAATGGATAAAAGACTTAAATGTTACTCGTTAATTTATAAAAATCCCAGAAGAAAATGTAGGCAACAAAATTTTAGACATCACACGCAGCAGAATTTTCACTGATACAACATCTAAGGCAAGAGAAACAAAGGAAAAAAAAATGAACACATGGGCCTACATCAAACTGGAAAGCTTCTGTACAGCAAAGGACCCAGTATTCTTATATTTCAAATAGGAATGACCTCACTTATGCTGCAGTGGATGGTGGCAGGCTAGGATGCTCACTTACTCTCTCGCAGGTGCTTTATTTCTGGACAGAGCCCTGACTTTGAGATGTTTGAGGGGTCTTCATCCTTCCTAGATCCCTGCAGCAGCAGAGAATTTTCCCTGGAATACCAATCGATCCGTTTCACCACCGTCCAGGGAACAAAGGAGTCAGAGTGTTAGTGAAGGCACCACATTAGTCTCAAGGTCCAGGTCTCCCCTTCCCCTTTTTTAAATAATTACTTTGTACCCAAAGACTTGATTGATCTTTTGTCAACAACCCGATTATTGACTAAATACACAAAACTAATCTTAACTAGGTGGTAAAATTTCAGAATATCCCTTTAAATTCTGATTTTTAGTAAGTTTTTCTTCTAGAAGGTAGTGATGGGTTTTTTTCTTGACTTGTTTGATTGATTACTATTTTATAGAGCTGCCTAACCTAACAAATGCTTATAGGAAAGAAACAGAAATGTAAATACCCAGAATTTTAAAGATTGCAAGGTTTATATGGAAAGCAGGAAAGTGATTTTTTATTTAAACTTGTGCATTTTATTTTGATCAGGTCGGAGTGATCGATTTTTCCCTCTACCTTAAGGATATGCAGGATCTTGATGGTGGCAAGGAGTAAGTACTGGATTGTATGCTATTCACATTTTTAATGAAATTCTGGCAAAGAATGCCACATTTGTTTTAGCTTTGTTTGAAATTCTAGTTTTTATTTATGTGTTTTTAATTACAGAGGTGATACATTAATTTTCCCATTGTTTGAGGAATTGTACTACAGAATTCAAAGTACAAGTGAGATTTCTCCATTCATACTGTCCCCTTGTCTCCATCCCACTGCCACTCGCACTTCTCCCTCAGAGGAAGCTGCTCATGTCTACTTTGGAGCCTTTTTGTTGTTGTTAATCCTTACCCGAGGATATTTTTCCCACTGATTTTTAGAGAGAGTGGAAAGAAGGGAGAGAAGGGGAGGGGGGAGAGAGAATAAGACAGAGAGGGAGAGAAAGCAACATCATTGTGAGACACATCAGTTGATTGGTTGCTTCCCGCAGGTGCCCTGACTGGGACCAGGAATCAAACCTGCAACTCTTCGGTGCATGGGCCACTGCTCTAACCACTGAGCAACACTGGCCAGGGTTCCTTTTAAGCCTTTTATTAATGCCCTGCAGATACATCTTTGCTTTTTTTTAAAGATTTTTTTAATCTATTTTTAGAGAGAGAGGAAAGGAGAGGGAGAGAGAGAGAAACATCAAGACGTCAATCAGCTGCCTTCTGCGTGCCCTCTACCTAGAATTGAGTCCTTAACTCGGGCATGTGCCCTGGCTAGGAATCAAACCAGCAACCTTTTGGTGCACAGTATGATGCCCAACCAAGCCACACTGGCTAGGGCTTTTTTTTTTTAATTGATTTGAGAGAGAGAGAGAGAGAAACATCAATTTGTTGTTCTACTTATTTATGCATTCATTGGTTGATTTTGTATTTGCCCTGATCAGGAATTGAACCCACAACCTCAGCATATCAGGATCACGCTCTAACCTACTAAGCTACCCTGCCAGGGCTATTGGTCATGATGCATTTTGCTGTGCGGTTTGTTTGAATGTAAATGGGATAGTACTATTATATATATAAGTCACTGTGTATCTTTGATGTCTTTTGTGCCACATGTAACTCTCACCTATGCTTGTCAACAAGAGCATTCTTTTTTAAAAAAAGAATGGACCAAAAAAAGAAAAGAAAAAAAGCAAATATGTAAAACCTGCTACCATTTATGTTAAGATAAATAAAGAACATATGCCCCTATTTATATGTTGTACTTCCTTACCCATGGACTGTTTCGATAACATTGCTGCCGAAGGGGAAAGGACAGGGTCATGTTTGACTGTTTTACTATGTGCATCTGTTACTTGTCATTCAGTTATCTTTTTAACAAGGACCTTGTCCCCCCTGTCTCATGCCTTGGCAGCACATCTTACCAAGGAAGGGACCAGAGGGAACCCCATCAATGCTTCATGCACCCTAAGTACAAGGATTTGCCTACTTTAAACTTAAAATATATTCTTTATAGTTAAAAAACTGGAAATAAATGGATTATCCACTTAATCTATTTCCATTTGAATGAACTATGGAAAATCCATAGTTCCACACTGATATATCATGAAGAGCTAAAAAAAGACAACAGATTTGAGCTAGTGGTATAGTTGACTTAGAGTGATTTCCACAAGGTATTATTAAGTGAGAAAAGTATGATACTGAGAAGTATATATTACCATTTTTTAAACAAACTCAAAAAATCCCTAGTCTGTATTTTATATTTTAATTGTGTCGTATACACACACATACACAAGACCAACAGATACAATGATTTTATGCACATAGTATATACTTAAGAATAGATAGAGGGGAAAAAGTGACTGCACTGAAAAACAAATCCTGTGGCATGAACCTCTGTAGAATGATCCTATTTATGTGTGTGTATGTGTATATATATATGTATGTATGTATGTATATATATATATATATATATATATGCATGTAAAACAATGTAGGAGGCTAACTTTAAAATATTTTTAAAAAAAAATTTTTTTTTTTTTATCCTCACCTGAGGACATCTTTTCCATTTTTTGTTCAGATAGAGTGGTAGGGAGAGAGAGAGAAAGAAACATCGACATGAAAGGGACACATCAAGTGGTTGCCTCCCGCACGATGCAGCCAGGGCCAGGGACAAACTGCAACCAGGGTACATGCCCTTAGCGGGAACCGAACCCAGGTCTCTCTGGACTGCAGGTCAATGCTCCAACCGCCAGAGCCAAACCGGCCAGGGCTTTTTAAAAAAATTTTTAATGCAGATTGGTCAGCTTTGTGGGGTTTTTTGTTGCTGTTGTTGTTGTTTTCTTTATTGATTTGAGAGAGAGAGGAAGGAAGAAGGAGAGAGAAAGAGACAGAAACATAGATGAGAGAGAACATGGATTGGCCGCCTTCTTCATGCCCACACCTGGGCATGTGCCCTGACCGGGAATTGAACCAGTGACCTCTTGGTGCATGGGTTGCTGTTCAACCACTGAGCCATACTGGCCAAGCAGCTTTGTGTTTTGAAAAGTCTTGTGGTCTCCTTTTCTAAGCTAACCTTTTTTCCTTCAATATAGCATTTGCCACCTTGGGAGCCATCTGCATGTGCCATTTGGTGTTTCTACCTTGCATGTCCATGGCTTTCGTCTTCCCAAATACCCAGCCAATTGCAGGGGTGAGAGGGCATCTGCAGGAAGCCTACTCTCCAGGCCCCATGTTTCCATGTCTTCCAAGGCCCTGGCTGCTGTTTCCCCCACTAGCCTTGCTCTGTTCACTCAAGGCCATGTAGACGTGACTAAGCTCTATCTCTTGGTTTCCTGATGACGTTGGTACTCCTATAAGGTGATTGGAAGGTTGGGGGACAGTTACAAAGTGTTAACCCTTACTCTCTTTTTAAAAGGCATGAAAGAATTACTGATGTCCTTGATCAAAAAAATTATGTGGAGGAACTGAACCGGCACTTAAGGTAGGGCTCACTCCTTTTTCCAGTGTTATAGTTCATTCTCAGTACCCAGTAATTGTTTCATGGAACTTTTTTGAGTTGTCACTTATTTATAACTAACTTTTTCCCAAACCAAGAGGAAAGGTTACGGTGCCTTTGTTCACATGTACAGACTGGAGATGTCTGATTTCTTGATAAAGAGCTTGTGGGACTTTTTTAGGTCTTTGTTTTATGTAGTTATATAATTTAGAGAGTCAATAAATAAAACCTTGAATCTCCACCCCTCACCCCACAGCCACTTAGTTGGAAATCACTTTAATGTGAAGCACTGTTGTTGCTGCTGGGAATTAGCACACATCCCTCCAGCGTGTTGGGGCAGGAAAAGAAGGATTGACTACTGGGCTAGAGCTTCAAGATCATTTAGTAGCGATAGCCAACATCTTGAACTTGATTTTTCATTTTAATTGAAAAGCCGCTGCTGCTGTGTCATAAGAAACACCAGTCACTGGAGGTATTGGTGGGAATGGTGGAGATTCTCTGTCTCCTGTGTTTGGGAGACATTATTCTCTCTCTGAGTCCCTCGTCAGAGAGTGTGCAGTGCACATTAGCAGTGCTTTGCAGGAGCAGCCTCTCTGGCCCTAGAAGCCAGTGAAACAGGCAAAGGAGCTGGCAGGTCCCTCAGAATGAACCTAGGGAAGTGCTGCTGTAAGCTCTCCTTAAGTGTGATATTGGCTGTTATTTTGAAAGAGATTCTTTTTGTTTTAATCCTCACCTGAGGACACCTTTGCATTTATCCTCAGACAGAGCGGGAAGGAGAGAGAGAGAGAAACATCAATGTGAGAGAGACACATCGAGTGGTTGCCACCCACATGACCCCAACTGGGGCTGGGGGCAAACTACAACTGAGGCACGTGCCCTTAGCGGGAACCAAACCCTGGACTCTGGTCCACGGCCGATGCTCTAACCTCTGAGCCAAACCAGCCAGGGCTGAAAGAGATTCTTGATCAATTCCTAGTTTACTGAGAGTTTTTATAAGGAATGGGTGTTTAATTTTCTTAAATCCTTTTACCATCCAATAAGGTAATCGTGACTTTTCTTCCTTAATCTGTTGATGTGATCTATTTTATTAATGGCTTTCTTCATATGGAGCCATTCCTGGATCACAGGAATAAACTGTACTTGAGCCTAGTTTTAATAATTTAATTGTTCTCTTAACAGGGAACTTATCTAACTGTCCTGTAGTTCTCTCCCTCTAGCATGTTAGCAGGGCTATGCAGCTTCACAGAGTGAACTAGGAAGCTTTACCTTGTTTCTGTGTCTGGGAATGTGCCTTCTAGTTTATGATCATTACTTGCTCCTTGAATGTTTGAAGCTCTGAGCCTGTATGGAAGCAGTACTTTGCCAGCGTTCTATTTTTCAACTTAGTTGTAAGGTCTTCTAGGTTTTCTTCTCTGGGTGATCTGTCTTTTTGGTAATTTGTTTCCTAAGAAAAATATAAATTTTATTAATATTTTCTAAGCTATATAGTTGATATAAAATTGACATTTGTAAACTCTTAAACTTTTAGTTCCCTTCATATCATTTGTTTTGTTCCCTTTTTCATTTTGTGTCCTTGTATTTTTATTTTTCTTTCACCCAATTCTTTCTGGGGTGGAGGTGAATCAAACCATTTTGTTGAGGGGATTCAGGGGAGGGTCAAAGGGCTGGAATTGTCATCTGATTTCACTGTCCTCAACCTGGCCAGGATCTCCCCAGCTTGTCTGTTTCTAAAAAGCTCCCACCCAGTTCTTGAGCCTTGATTCTCTAGCCTTGCCAGGAATGTGTCATTGTCCCCCTCATAGGCACAAGGCACCATATTTGACAGTTAAGCCCACTGTCCTAAAATGCAGGCTCTTGGGGGAGACTACCTGGGTTCAGTCATGGCACCCCTTCATAGGGGTATGAACTTGAGTGAGTTTTTTAATATAAAGTTATGGTTTCCTTGTATGTAAAAAAGGTTAATAAAATTCACCTCACAGTATTGTGGGTTGGATTGCATGCATTTAAAGTGCTTAGAACAAATAGGGCCTGGCACATTGTCCAAGCAGAAAGTAACTGCTATTATTTCTGTGATTATTATTAATATTGCTTATTAAGTCTTCTTTAGCTTTTTACATATTTTTCAGTAGGAAAGTAGTACATATTACTTAAAGAAATATTTGAAAAATGGGGCAAAGTATTAAAATATTTATAAATCACCTTTGATCCTACGCTCCAGAAGTACCAGTATCTTGTTATGAATATTACTTCAGATATATGAATGCCGACACATTTTGGTTCCCATTTATTGTGTTGGGGAGAAAAACTATTTTTTTTTCCAGTTGACTAAAAAAAATGGGTAGCATATTTTGGGGGGAAAACATTGAAAACTTTTTAATAAATGTACACACACATACATATATATCTAGAATTATCATCTGATTTCATTGGAGACCCTTTGACTCCATTTCTTACAGGAAATCTAGGAATCTCTATTCTCATTGTTTACAGGTTGAGAAGGCAGTCAGTTTTTGTAAGTTCACATTTACTTAATATTGTATTTTCTATAGCTGCACAGTTGGGAATCTTCAAACCAAGATAGATGGCTTGGAAAAGACTAATTCAAAGCTTCAAGAAGAGGTTTGTAACTTAATTGAAATTCTTAAAACAGAATGGCTCAGGGTTAAGAGAAATGGTGTAGTCAGTATACCTGACCAGAGCTGCTTGTTGGTAGGACTGAATTGCTGACCTTGGGTTGAGCTGCACGTGGGACAGGCACTCTCAGATTTTGCATCCTCAGAATGTCTTTGTTCTGCCCTGAGAGGGCTCCCATGAGCCAGTGCAATTGATCCTGAGCCAGTTCTAGGGGACTTCAGTTTCATCACCTCACAGTAATCATCACTGGAAAAGCCCAACTCCTGTGTGAGCATGCTCTTCTCTTCCTCTCCCCACCTTTCCTATAATGAAGTGTGTCTCCCTGCTGCCCGGACAGCACAGACTCTGTTCTGAGATAAACAGTACCCCTGCCTACTTCTGTGTTTCCCCAGTGTGGTCTTTCTCTGCTTTCTCACTAGGAAGAGAGAGGATGAAAAGACAGGAAGAAGGAGGGCTGAGATCGAGAAAGACAGCTTGCTGCCAACTGCCCAGCAGTCCCCTTGTTGAACACATCTTGTCTCCTGTTAGCAGGAGGAGGGTTGCTCAGCCTTTCTGAGGCTTTCCACAAGTAGTGGTCCCTGGCTACTGATGTACCCATCAAGTCTCATTGAGGAGGAAGAGGGCTGTGAGAAGGAGCCAGAGAGTGGACCCCCAACCCCTACACGGTGGAGGCAAGTTATAGCCAAAATGAGAGTTGCAGCCCTGGCCGGTTTGGCTCAGTGGTTAGAGCATCAGCCTGCGGTCCAGAGAGACCTGGGTTCAGTTCCTGCTAAGGGCACGTACCTTGGTTGCAGTTTGTCCCCAGCCCCGGATGGGTTGTGCAGGTGGCAACCACTCGAAGTGTCCCTTTCAAGTCGATATTTTTCTCTCTCTCCCTCCCACTTTATCTGAACAAAAAATGGAAACGTATCCTCGGGTTAGGATTAAAAAAAAGAGAGTTGCAGAGCACACCTTTGTGTGGAGGGCCCAGTTTAAGGCTCTCCTGAGAGGCTAGCCTAAAAAGCTTTCAGGAGAGCTTTCAGAGAAGGAAATTCAAAGGTGGCATTCATAAATAGGCATCACAGGAGAGACCTGGCCCCACCTAGAACTGGAGAATTCGTCTTCACCTTAGCTGGGTGGGCCTTTGGGCCTTAGTCTAGGTGGTAGGTGTTTGAGTTCTCATCTCTAAATTGGATTATAATCCATACCTTACATTGTTGTAAAGATTACGTTGGATTAATGTCATATAAATGTGCCTAATTACAACAGTTGGCATGTGGATGGCACTTGAGATGTTAGTTGATATAAGAATAAGCAGATTTACTCTTTGTTCTCCCAGACAAAGTGGCATGCTTTGAAGGAAGGTCTAATTTAACTTTTGAAACTAAATGACTGGGTTGCCTTTTTCTTCAAAGGCAAACAATCGTATTAGAAAATGTCCTTTAGAAAAAAAATATACCTCTCTTCATAGTATACTCTATATCTTCAGAGAGTAAAATGGAATTTTCTCATGGTTTTTGCCTGCATCTTCCCTTGTAGTTACTTGCGCCTCCTTTAAAGCCTTAAATTTCCTTATTTGGGCATAGCTGTTATGTTTAGAAACCCCAGTTCTAGATTCTGAGTCTGAGTGAACTTAGATGCTCTTGATTCAGAAAAGATGAAGAGCTCAGTGTTTCAAGGCCCTTATAAGTGAATGATGCTAAGAGCACAGCCAAGTACCAAAGGCAGATATCTTGCTTCTTTCTCTTCCAGCCTCACTTTCTCTCTCCAGGCTGTGTTCAGAATTTCGATAAGGAGGGATTGATTGACATATTTACTTCTCTACCTTACCTCTCCTCAGCAGGTCCGTGAATGCATCTCTAAGCTATGATAAGTTGTTCAAGTCTTCCTCGGGCACATCTTTAATGGTGTGGTTGTGATTCCTACCCCAAAATTCTTCCTCTCATGATTAAATATCCTTTTGCTCATTGGTAGGAACACTGAAAAGAATAAAGAATCATAAAAAAAGCCCATAATCCCTTGGCTAAGTGACATCCATTTTTCTCATGTGGTATATATATTTCCCAAGCATTTTAACACAGATTTTTTAAAATTAAGGGGTGAGAAAATACTATATAACCTATTTTATTTCCATATTGGTATTATAAATATGTTCTCATATTAACAGTTGTAAACATTTCAATAATTGCATTTTTCTGCTTTATGCTTCCACTGTAATATATTAAACCATTTCTCTAATATGAACAGTCAGGCTATTTCTAATGTCTTGTGTCCATAAATCTTTTCCTACATTATGTAGTAAGTTATCACTTTTATAAAAGGAGAAGACTGGGGGGTGGGGGGTTGTAGCAGAGATGGTCAGGGGAAGGGGTGGGAGAGATTTTGTTATATCTATTTTTATATTTTTGGAATTTTGTAACATGTGAATGTATTACCTATTCAATATCAAATATGTGAAAATAAATTGTCGATTGTGAAGATGCCAAATGTTAGATTTTATTTTGAATAGTAAGATTCATTTTGATGTTAAGAAATATAAAAATCTTGCCTGGCCGGTGTGGCTCAGTGGATCGAGTGTCACCCCATGGACTGAGAGGTCCGGTTTTGATTCCTGGTCAGGGCACATGCCCAGGGTTGCAGGCTTGGTCCCCAGCAGGGGGCGTGCATGAGGCAGCCAATCAATGTTTCTCATTGATGTTCTATCTCTCTTTCCCTCTCCCTGAAATCAATAAAAACATATTAAAATTAAAATATAAAACAAGAAGTTTATGTTTTTTAAAGGAAATATAAAAATCTTTCTCAATCAGCTTTCAGCAGCAACAGACCGGATTTTTTCACTTCAAGAAGAACAGCTACAATTAAGAGAACAAAATGAATTAATTCGTGAAAGAAGTGAGAAGAGTGTAGAGGTAAGAACTTGACCTCACAGTTGATTGGCATGTTTCTCACTGAGATGTGTCCATCAAAATCTCAAGCTCATAGTTGAATTACAACCCAGCCCTCAGGAGGTGCCTCTGTTGTCACTCTCAAGCCAGTTGGACCACTTGGGGTTTCCCAAGCACCCTGCCCTCTCACCTCTGGGTTTTTGCACACTAAAGTTCCTGTTCATTCTTCAGCTTTCACTCCTGAGCTTGGTCCTCTGTAATGCCATCCATAGTACCATCCCTAGCATCCATCAGTGGAAGCATCCATCAGTGGACCCGGGCTCTCCTCCTGTGTCCCTGTTGTTCTTTGCATCTCTCTCCTATATAGAGTCTGTTTGCTGTTTTGTAGAATTGCTGGCTTGCTCACCTGATGATTTGAAGGTAGAGATCATATCTGATTCATCTCAAAATTCATCCACTGCTAAAAACACGACTGATAAATACTGAATAATGGATTGAGTGGGGCCTTTTTTTTTACTAAGAATGATTATTCTGTTTTAAAGAAAAGTAAAGCTGTTTTCTGAACCTAAATTTTCTTCTTTTTTCAATTAGCAATAATCGCACCTCGGATAAACCTCATTGGCTACGATACTGCCACTGTGCAAAGCTCCTAAATTTTATTTTTTAAAAATCTATTGACTTGTTCTTATCCTCGAGTTCAAAGATATTTCAAAATAGCTTTAAAATTTTAACCATTTTTTAAAATTTTACTTAAATAGAACTTAAATTATGCTACTTTTAAAAAAATTATGATATATTTTTAAATACTTTGTAGTTGACTTGTTTCCCATGAAACCTTTCACTTTGTGTTCTTGTTGGATACAGATAACAAAACAGGACACAAAAGTTGAGCTGGAGACTTACAAACAAACACGGCAGGGTCTGGATGAAATGTATAGTGACGTGTGGAAGCAGCTGAAGGAAGAGAAAAAAGTCCATTTGGTGAGTGTGCAAGCCTGAGTGTCTTTAGAAAGGATTCTCCAAAAGCCCTGTAAGTGATTTCTTCATCACTTTTCACATATGTGCTTACCCTGCCGACACCAACAGACAGTCCAAAATTGTCCCTTTGGGGGAAAAAAAATTATGTTTACCATTCAATTCTGCATTGTCACATTTTTCCAATTTTATAAACCCTTTTTGGAGATCACTGTGAAATCAAATGCATGGTTTCTTTGACAATACATTTGCCTCAGTCAGAGCCTCTAGTCCGTTTATTTCCACCCTTTCTATGAGTCAGTGGCTTGTGGTTTTTTTTGTTTTTGTTTCCTGATTGATTGATTTTTTTAGAGAGAGACGTCGATTTGTTCTTCCACTTATTTATGCAATCATTGGTTGTTTCTTTTTTTTTTTTATCCTCACCCGAGGATATTTTTCCACTTTTTGTACAGATAGAGTGGGAGGGAGAGAGAGAGTGAGAAACATCGACGTGAAGGGACACATTGAGTGGCTGCCACCCGCACGACCAACCAGGGCTGGGGACAAACTGCAACCGAAGTACGTGCCCTTAGCAGGAACCGAACCCGGGTCTCTCCGGACCGCAGGCCGACGCTCTAACCTCTGAGCCAAACTGGCCAGGGCTTTTTTTTCTTTTTTTTTTTTATCCTCACCCGAGGACATTTTTCCATTTTTTGTTCAAGTAGAGTGGGAGGGAGAGAGAGGAACAGAGAGAGAGAGAAACATCGATGTGAAAGGAACACATCGAGTGTCTGCCACCTGCACAACCAACCAGGGCCGGGGACAAACTGCAACCGAGGTACGTGCCCTTAGCGGGAACCGAACCCGGGTCTCTCCAGACCGCAGGCCGACGCTCTAACCGCTGAGCCAAACCGGCCAGGGCGTTTGGTTGTTTCTTATATGTGCCCTGACCAGGGATCGAACCCACACCTTGACATATGGGGACAACGCTCTAACCTATTGTGTTACCCAGTCAGGGCCTGGTATTGTTGTTTTTTAATTTTTTTTTTCTTTAATGGTTTTAAAGAGAGAGGAAGGGAGAAGGTGAGAGAAATAGAAACATCAATGAGAGAGAACATCAATTGGCTGCCTCCTGCATGCCCACCACTGGGGATCGGGCCCACAACCTGAACATGTGCCCTGACCGGGAATCAAACTGGCGACCTCTTGGTGCATGGGTGGACGCTCAACCACTTAGCCACACCAGCCGGGCAGGGTCTGGTGTTTTTTATTTAAAACAGTTCTTGCACCTGCTTCATTTCTTTGCTCCTTTGCATGGATGTGGAGAATGTGTGTCCTGAGTTACCCAGGATAGAGCTATTTCAAAATGGTTTCACCTTTGTTGCCATAAACCAGCAAATCATTCCAGAAGCTCTAACATTGCAATGTCAAATTGCATTAGCACTGAAATACAAGACACATTCTTTCAAATCATATGTTCTGATCTTAGGGTTTAAAGAATATGGTTGCAAGAATTCTAGGCCCATATTGCCACCTACCAGCTTTCTGTTGACTTAATGCAGAGCTGGTTTTTATTGTAAAATAAGAAAAAAGAAAAAACCTAATTTAGTTAGACTTTTAAAAATCTCTCTAAGTGCCCAGCCAGTGTGGTTCAGTGGTTCAGTGTCAACCCATGCACCAGGAGGTCATCAGTTCGATTACCAATCAGGTCATATGCCCAGGTTGTGGGCCTGATCCCCAGTGGGAGCATGCAGGAGGCGACTAATTGTTCTTTCTCATCGACGTTTCTAGCTCTCTCCTTCTCCCTTCCTCTCTCTCTAAAATAAATTTAAAAAAATAAAAATTTTAAATTAATTAATTTATTTTTGTTACAGATGTTTCTCTTTTTCTCCCCCATTGACACCCTGCTCCCAATCCCCACCCCCTACCAGCATTATTGTCTATGTCCTTGTTTACATATACATACCTAAAAATTCTGTGGTTTATCTCTTCCTTCCCCTGACATCCACCTCTTCTGGGGTTTGTCAGTCTGCACCCCACTTCCATGTCTCTGGGTCTGTTTTGTTCCTCAGCTTGTTTTGTTCATTATATTCCACAAATAAGTGAGATCATGTGATATTTGTCTTTCTCTGATTGGCTTGTTTCTCTTAGGATAATACTCTCCAGGTCCTTCCATGTTGTCTCAAAGGATAAGATATCTTTCTTCCTTAGAGCTGCATAGTATTCCATTGTGTATATGTACCACAGCTTTTTTATCCACTCATTTATTGATGGACACTTGGGCTGTTTCCAGATCTTAGCAATTGTAAATAGTCCTGCTATGAACCCAGGGGTACGTATATTCTTTCTGACTGGTGTTTCAGGTTTCTTAGGATATACTCCTAGAAGTGGGATCACTGGGTCAAATGGTAGTTCAATTTTTTAATTTTTTGAGGAAACACCATATTGTTTTCCATAGTGGTTGCACCAGTCTGCATTCCCACCAGCAGTGTACTAGAGTCCCCTTTCTCCACACCCTCACTAGCACTTGTTTGATGATTTGTTGATGGCAAACATTCTGACAGGTGTGAAGTAATACCTCATAGTTGTTGTACTTTGCATCTCTCTGATGATTAGTGATGTTGAGCATTTTTTCTTATGTCTCTTGACCATTTGTATGTCCTGTTTGGAGAGGTGTCTGTTTAGGTCCTCTGCCCATTTTTTAATTGGATTCTTTGTCTTTTGTTGAGTTGTAGGAGTACTCTATATATTTTGGAAATTAGTCCTTTATCTGACGTATCATTGGCAATTATGCTCTCCTATATAGTGAGTTCCCTTTCCATTTTGATGGTTGTTTCTTTTGCTGTGTAGAAGCTTTTTAGTTTGATGTAGTCCCATGTGTTCATTTTTTCCTTTGTTTCTATTCCCTTAAGCATTGTATCAGTGAAAATTCTGTTGCGTGTAGTGTCTGAAATTTTGTTGCCTATATTTTCTTCTAGGATTTTTACGGATTCATCGGTCACATTTAAGTCGTTTATCCATTTTAAGTTTATTCTTGTGTATGGTGTAAGTTGGTGGTCTAGCTTCAGTTTTTTTGCATGTAGCTGTCCAGTTTTCCCAACACGATTCATTAAAGAGGTTTCCTTTACTCCGTTGTATGCTCTTGCCACTGTTGTCAAATGTTAATGGAGCATAATGACTTGGGTCAATTTCTGGGTTCTCTGTTCTTTCCCATTGATCTATATGCCTGTTCTTTTGCTTTTACCAGGCTGTTTTGATTACTACGGCTTTGTAATATAACCTGATATCTGGTATTGTGATCCTTCCTACTTTGTTCTTCTTTTTCAAGATTGCTGTGGCTATTGAGGGTCTTTTTTGGTTTCATATAAACTTTTGGAGTATTTGTTCTAGTTCTGTGAAATATGTCGTTGGTATTTTGATGGGGATTTCCTTGAATCTATAGATTGCTTTGGGTAGTATGGACATTTTAATGATGTTAATTCTTCCAATTCATGAACAAGGTATATGCTTCCACTTTTTTATATCTTCTATTTCTTTGTTCAGTGACCTGTAGTTTTCTGCAAATAGGTATGTATCTTGATATGATAAAGGCCATATATTAAAAGCCTAGAGTCAGCATCCTACTAAATGGGCAAAAGCTACAAGCATTTCCCTTAAGAACAGGAACCAGACAGGGATGTCCAGTCTTGCTACTCTTTTTTTTTAATTATTTTTTTTATTATTTTTTTTATCCTCACCTGAGGACATTTTTCCTTTTTTGTTCTGGTAGAGTGGGGGGGAGAGACAGGAACAGAGAGAGAGAGAGAGAAACATCGATGTGAAAGGGACACATCGAGTGGCTGCCACCCGCACAACCAACCAGGGCCGGGGACAAACTGCAACCGAGGTACATGCCCTTAGCGGGAACCGAACTCGGGCCTCTCGGGACCGCAGGTCGACGCTCTAACCGCTGAGCCAAACTGGCCAGGGCTTGCTACTCTTTTTTAACATAGTACTGGAAATCTTAGCCACAGCTATTAGACACAAAGAAAACATGAAAGGAATCCAAATTGGAAAGGAGGAAGTGAAACTGTCATTATTTGCAGATGACATGATACTGTGCATAGAAAACCCTAAAGACTCCATCAAAAATCTACTAGATTTAATAAATGAATTTGGCAAAGTACCAGGATACAAAATTAACATCAAGAAATCGATGGTGTTCTTGTACACCAACAACAAACTCAATGAAAGAGAAACTAAAAAAGCAACCCCATTTACCATTAAAGCAAAAAAAGGAAGATACTTAGGAATAAACTTAACCAAAAAAGTAAAGTACAGTGATACCTCGGTTCTCGAACGCCTTGACTTTCGACCAAATCGGTATTCGACCAGGAGATTCGAGAAACTTTTGTCTTGGAATCCGAACAAATATTTGGAACTCGAATTTCCGAGATGAGCCGAGTTGAGCCGAATGGCGTTCATTCGGCCCAGCGCGCCTTGCTTGCGTCATCAGTGTGAGTGCAGAGAGAGAGTCACGCTTTGTGGAGAGAGTCACGCTTTACACTGAATTTAACCCTTAGACATACTGTACACTTTTATTTCTTGTTGAGACTTATGTTTTTCTACATATTATATACAAATTAGGCCAGTAAATAGGCATTTTCTGGGGCTTGGAACGAATTAATCCAGTTTCCATTATTTCCTATTGGTTTCATTGCTTCGGTTCTCGAACAATTTGGTTCTCGACCGTCCTCCTGGAACGAATTATGTTCGAGAACCGAGGTATCACTTGTATCATCCCTCTATTTCCACATTGCTGAGTGTTTTTATCAAAAATGGGTTCTGGATTTTGTCAAATGTTTTTTCAGCATCTATTGATATGATCATGTGGTTTTTATCTTTCATTTTGTTTATGTGGTGTATCACATTTCTTGATCTGCAGATACAGTGATACCTCGGTTCTCGAACATAATTCGTTCCAGGAGGACGGTCGAGAACCAAATTGTTCGAGAACCGAAGCAATGAAACCCAATAGGAAATAATGGAAACTGGATTAATTCGTTCCAAGCCCCAGAAAATGCCTATTTACTGGCCTAATTTGTACATAATATGTAGAAAAACATAAGTCTCAACAAGAAATAAAAGTGTACAGTATGTCTAAGGGTTAAATTCAGTGTAAAGCGTGACTCTCTCCACAAAGCGTGACTCTCTCTCTGCACTCACACTGATGACGCAAGCAAGGCGCGCTGGGCCGAATGAACGCCATTCGGCTCAACTCGGCTCATCTCGGAAGTTCGAGTTCCAAATATTTGTTCGGATTCCAAGACAAAAGTTTCTCGAATCTCCTGGTCGAATACCGATTTGGTCGAAAGTCAAGGCGTTCGAGAACCAAGGTATCACTGTATTGTACCATCCTTGCGTCCCTAGGATGAATTCCATTTGGTCACGATGAATATTTTTTTTGATGTATTGCTGGATTGGATTTGCTAATATTTTGTTAACGATTTTGGCATCTGTGTTCATCAGGGATATTGGCCTGTAGTTTTCTTTCTTTGTAGTATCTTTATCTTGTTTTGTAATTAGAGTTATGTTGGCCTCATAGAATGAGTTTAGAAGTCTTCTGTCTTCTTGGATTTTTTGGAATAGTTTGAGGAGAACAGGTATTAGATCATCTTTGAATGTTTGGTAAAACTCCCCTGGGAAGCCATTCAGGCCTGGGCTTTTGTTTGCTGGGAGTTTCTTGGTTATATCTTTACTGTCCTTGGTTATTGGTCTATTTAAGTTTTCTTTCTCTTCCTGGTTCAGTTTTGGGAGACTGTGTGTTTCTAGAAATTTGTCCATTTCGCCTACATTGTCCAAGTTGTTGGCATATAATTGTTTGTGGTATGGTTTTTGTAGTGTCAGTTGTTGCTTCTCCTCTTTCGTTTCTGATTTTGTTTATTTGGGTCTTCTCTTTTTGTTTCTTGGTGAGTCTGGCTAAGGGTCCATCAATCTTGTTTATCTTTTCAAAGAACCAGCTCTTTGTTTCATTGATCTTTTGAATTGTTTTTTGTTTGTTTTTTTGTTTTTTTTTTAGTTTCTATGTCATTTATTTCTGCTCTATTTGCTCTGGGATTTTCTTTTTGTTTACATTCTAGTTCTTTGAGTTGTAGGATTAGAAAGTCAATTAGGCATTTTTATTTTTTCTTGAGATAGGCCTGTAGTGCTATAAACTTCCCTCTCAGGACTGCTTTCGCTGCATCCCATAGATATTGTGTTGTTGTGTGTTCATTTTCATTGGTTTCCAGGAAGTTTTTAATTTCTTCCTTGATCTCCTTGGTAACCCATTCATTGTATAATAACATGCTATTTAGCCTCCATGTGTTTGAATGTTTTTGTTGTAACTGATTTCTAGTTTCATGCCATTGTGATCTGAGAAGATGCTTGATATGATTTCAATGTTCTTGAATTTGTGGAGATTTACCAAACATGTGGTCTATCTTCAAGAATATCCCATGTACACTTGAAAAGAATGTATATTCTGCAGCTTTAGGGTGAAAGGTTCTGTAAATATCAATTAAGTCCAGCTAATCTAGTTGGTCATTTAAGGACTATGTGTCCCTGCTAATTTTTTGTCTAGAAGATTTATCCAGTGGTGTCAGTTGTGTGTTCAAGTCACCCACTATGATTGTATTGCTATTGATCTCTCCTCTGAAGTCCTCTAGAAGTTTTTTAAACATATTTTGGAGCTCCTGTGTTTGGTGCATATATGTTTACCAGAGTTATATCCTCTTGTTGGATTGTTCCTTTTAATATTATGTAGTGACCTTCGTCTCTTATTATGCCCCTCGTTTTGAAGTGAGTCTTATCAGATAGGAGTGTTGCTACACCAGGTTTTTTTTTTTTTTCATTTCCATTTGCCTGGAAATTTTTTTTCCATCCCTTCACTTTTATCCTGTGTGTCTTTTGTTGTGAGGTAGGTCTTTTGTAGACAGCATATATATATATATATATATATATATATATATATATATATATATATGGGTCATGTTTTCTTATCCAGTCAGCTACCCTCTATCTTTTGATTGGGGCATTCAAACCATTTACATTTAAGGTTGTTATAGATATATACCTATTAGTTGCCATTTTTATTTAATGCCTGTGTTTCTCTCTCTCTCTCTCTCTCTCTCTATTTCTTCTTCTTCTTATAGCAGTTCCTTTAGCATTTCTTACAGTGCTAGTTTGGTGGTGGTAAATTCCTTTAGCTTTTTTTTTTTGTCTGTGAAGCTGTTTCTTTCACCTTCAATTTTGAATGATAGCCTTGCTGGATAAAGTAGTCTTGAATTCAGACCCTTGCCTTTCATTACTTTGTACACTTCATGCCACTCCCTTCTGGCTTGCTGTGTTTCTATTGAGAAATCAGCTGACAGTCTAATGGGGGCTCCCTTATAGGTAACTTTGTGACTCTCTCTTGCTTCCTTTAAGATTCTTTTTTTGTCTTTAATGTTTGCTATTTTAATTATGATGTGTCTAGCTGTGGGTCTTTTTGGGTTCATCTTGCTTGGGACTCTCTGTGTTTTCTGGACTTGTGTGACTTTTTCCTTCATCAAATTAGGGAAGTTTTCTGTCATTATTTCTTCAAACAGGTTCTCTATTCTTTTCTCTGATTCTTCTCCTTCTAATACCCATATTATGTGAATGTTGTTACGTTTTGTGTTGTTCTAAAGCTCCCTTAAACTCTCCTCCTGTTTTTTAATTTTTTTCCCCATTTGTTGCTCTATTTGGGCATATTTTTCTACCTTGTCTTCTAACTCACTGATTCGGTCTTCAGCTTCTTCCAATCTGCTATTGAATCCTTTTAAGGTATTTTTTATATCAGCTATGTCATTTTTTTAATTTCCTCTTGATTTTTATTCATAGCTTCTACCTCTTTTTTTAAGCTACTGTAGTTCCCACTGAGCTCTTTATAATTCTCATTAAGTTGCTTGTAGTTCTCACTGAATTGTTTGAGCACCCTTAAAATCATTGCTTCAAATTCTTTATCTGACAAATTGCTTTCTTCCATTTCCTGTAGTTCTTTTTCTGGTGATTCCTCCTTTTTTTCATTTGGGTGTTATTTCTTTGTCCCATGTTAGCCATCTGGTAGTTCTAGACCCGGTGAGGGATGTTGGGTTGTGTAGGCAGGTCACTGTGTATCAAATAAGGCTACTGTGCCTCCTAGGCTATTCTGGTGCATGTTGCCCCTTGCCTGCTGTGGGTCCTGGAGGATTGACTACTGGGGCTGATATTGGTCTGTCCTGGTAGGCGCTGCTGCTGGATCACATGAGCCCCACTGAAGCCACGCTCCCCGCTGGTTGCTGGTGCCGCAGGTAGCTGTATTGCTCAGGGCCTGCTGGAGCTGTGCTTCCCGCCAGTCCCACAGGCAGCTGTGTCGCACAGTCCCCACTGGAGCTGTGCTTCCCACCAGTCCTGTGGGCAGCTATATTGCACAGGCTCCACTGGAGCCCCAGGTCCCACTGCTGATGCCTGGGGAGTGCTGCTACCTGGTGGGATTAAGCTCCTTCTCAGCCTCTGCTGAAGCTTTTGGGGATGGGTGTCAGCTACGAATTTGTGCTGCTGCTGCCGCAGAATGGAAGTCTCCTCCAGAGCCTTTGTTGCTGGGGGTTGTGTCTCAGCTCTGATCAGGCTGCTACTGTAGGGGATGGTGCTTGACTCCCAGCCATTTGCGGCTTCTGTTTGAGGCTACCACAGCAGGCACCTTGACAGTGCACTGGTCTGTGTTGACATAGCAGGATCTACTGGTCCGATGGTACCAGGTGCACTGGTGGACTCAGGTTGCTGGGCCCTAGCCACTCCCAGAAAAGACCAGGGATCTTCCAAAATGGCAGAGCCTCCTAGCCATGCAGGAAGAAGGCCCTGAAGAGCTACTTACCACTGTAGCTGGCTCTCTTCATCCACAGCACAGGAACTTTCTGCTCCACATTTCTGCACTGCTGGAGGTTGCTCATCCACACTAACGTCAACTCATACTCCCTCACTTACGCACTCACCCTCCCTCTGGTCCTGCCTGACGCCATCTTTCTGAAAATAATTTTTTTTTTATCCTCACCCAAAGACATTTTTGCATTTATCTTGAGATAGACCGGGGAGGGAGGGAGGGAGGGAGAGAGGGAAACATTGATGTGAGAGAGACACATCGAGTGACTGCCACCCACACAACCCCAACCGGGGCCAGGGACGAACCGCAACCGAGGTACGTGCCCTTAGCAGGAACCGAACCCGGGCCTCTTAGGTCTGCGGGCTGACGCTCCAACCGCTGAGCCAAACTGGCCAGGGCAATTTTTTTAAATAAATAAAATCTCACTAACCTATTCTGATTTTCAGTTTATATTTTACATATTGCCCAAGACAGCCTGTTAAATTGATTCTGTGTTCTACTTTAGTAATATTTTTCTTGTTACTATCCTTTTAAGGAACTGCAAAAAGAACTGCAGTTACAAATTGGAATGAAAACGGAAATGGAAATTGCAATGAAGTTACTAGAAAAGGACACCCACGAGAAGCAGGACACTCTTGTTGCCCTCCGCCAGCAGCTGGAAGAAGTCAAAGCGATCAATTTGCAAATGTTCCACAAAGTTCAGGTGGGAGCTGGCTTTGTGTCTGCATCATAGCCTAGGTTCTTGCTGCTATCTATAGCAGCAGAGCTGTCACATGCTGCCTCTCAGTCGTATCATTCATCCTTGTAGAGGGAGAAAATAAACACATCTGTAAGGTCCCAGTATGGGTCAGACCTAGTCCTAGGCCCTATTACATGTTACTGTATTTATTTTATTTGGGTATCCCAGCAACCCCCTAGAAAAGTTTATAAAATGGCGGAAATGTCAGTGACAAGACAGAACTGAGTGGCTAAAGTGGCACAGCTGATCAGTAGAGCTGAAAACTGAATTGTGCCTGTTGTACCTTCACTGTCTCCCTGCTGTTTGTTCCCTTCTACTTCAGTGGTAACTGTTGGAGAAGTGGATTAAGGATAGAAGTTTGTATTGTTTTTTTCTAGGTTTGCTGAGTCTCCAGGCCACACAATGAGCTGCTCACCTCACCTGTCATTTCAGGGTGATCAAGGGAGTCAGCCCAGAAAGAATCCATCATGCCAGAGTTTGAAAGATAGAGTCTAAAATTGGAAAGCTTCATTGCCCAGAATCTATCCAGAAAGATACCATTCTGTGTCCTCAGAACTTTTCTTTTTGAAGTTTTGTTTTCTCTTTTACTGCCAAAATAGTCCCACTTCCTTTTCCATGGATGTGGTTTTAGTTTCACTTGTCTAAGACAATGTGAGAGCAGACAGTACAAATAAACTGTTATTTTTTCCTGTATTTTTAAAACTATCACATCATCATCACTATAATAGCAACAGTGAAAATCGAAGTAAAAAGAGAAAAGGAGAAAGAATTTTACCCTCCTAACAAATTATCTATTTTAATTTTTTCATGTTTTCATCTGGTTTGGGTGAGTATGTAAACATAATGTGACATGTATGTTAGGGGAAACTAAACTTACTGTAGTAATTTAGCGGACCCTAGAGTGGCTTAAAAATATGAAAGTTTAGCCCTGGCCGGTTTGGCTCAGCAATTGGAGCATTGGCCTGCGGACTAGAGAGTCCCGGGTTTGGTTCCTGCTAAGGGCACATACCAAAAAAAAAAAAAAACAACTATGGAAGTTTATATCTTAGTTACATATAATTGTTTCCAAGGATAGTATTTCAGACCAGCTTTGCTCAGCACAGTCATTCAGGGACTAATGGCAGCTCCAGCTCTCAAGGCCTCTCTGGTTGTCACCATCTTGCCATTTGAAGGTGAGGGAGAAAAGCAAAAGTTCAGCATTGAGGGTTTCCTCTCAAGCTGTGAGACACAAATGGCAGACATTCTTCCATGCTCAGTGTGGCCACTCAGCTGCAGGGGTGCCTGGAATGGTCATTTCTCAGCTACAAGTCAGATGAAGGGGAGAATAAGTGTTTGGTAGACATAGCTGTCCCTACCACACAGGCCCATCCAGTCCTTGCATCCTCAAAGTCCATAACCCCTGGGTGTGGCAGCACTTCATCAACTAGCATAGCCTGTGTTTGCACCAGAAAACCTGCTATCTTCCTCATGTTAACTCATCCCATCCAGTGTAAAGTGGTAGAGCAGAAACAAGATAACAACAGAGAAGTGCCTGTTTGGAAAAGAGAACAAGGGATATGGCCTATGACAATAATACGTTTTCTGGGCAGGAATTGTGAAGGCTGCCCAGTGGGCAGGGGGCACTATTTCTTAGCATGTCTGCTACCCTGCTTCTTCCTTCAAAAGAATTTGTTAGCCTTCCTCTGTGGCTCCTGAGAGGTCCACCATCATCTGGCATATGAGAGTAGGTTCTTGGGCAGCATGGCCTTCCTGGCGACTACATAGCTTTTCTAGCCAGCTGCTTGTGATCTCAGTTTGCCAGCCTGGAGGTTGTATCTGTATCAGTTACAGGTACTTTTCAGGTCTGACTTATGGTCTCTTTGACAATGCAGTGCCCTCAGTCATAGCCTCTGGTCTGTTTATTTCCACTCAGCCTGTAGAACAGTTTATTTTTTTTAAACACCATTCTTGTGCCTACTTCATTTCTTTGGTCTATAGGTATCTTTCTCTCTTTCTCTCATATTAGTGACCAGTCATCTGAACCAGCTAATTGAGCTGTGAGGAAAGGCCCCTAACCTGACCTTTCCTGCAGGATATCCCAGGACCTCTGCTGCTCAGTCTTCAGTCTTCTGTCACTTATGTCAGGGTCATAAGCAGCTGGTTTTTCTAACCCATGAGGCCCCTACCTTTGGCCCCTCTGTTCCTGTCCTCTCCCTGCAAACTCCTTGCTTACAGTGCCCAGTCAGACCCTACCACATATACTAGCATCCTGGCCTTTTACAACCAGTTCCCCTTGAGCCCAGCATGGCTGGCAGGGAATTCTGTGTTCCAAGTTTGGGCAGGTGACAGTTATAATATCTGTTTGCCATAACTAACAAAGGTCACCAGCTTTCCAGCTTGTAACATGCATTTGACAGTACCAAACCCCTGGCTGCTGAGTCAGTGCTCTAGGCATTAGATTTCCTGTAGCAGCACCACACCTCACATCCCTTGTTGGCCCATTTTCACTTCCCACCCTGTACCTCTTTGGGCTGCATGTATAAAGGAATCAGTTGTATCCTTCAGTTTGGGACACACTGTGGTAAGACACCTCTCTTATGTTCTTATTTCCTTTTATAACCCCTCTCCCCTACTCCCATCCTCCTTCCTTTATGCTAACATTCTAAATGTTCATCTTTTGGAGTTTGTTTGTTGTTGTTGTTTTTTGTCTTTCTAAAACATGTTTAATTATTTTGAGTACATGAATTTTTTATTTTTTTAATTTTCTGTTTTGCTTGTTTATTTTTATAGATTCAATATTTGTAATGACATTCTTTTTTTATTATTGATTTTAGAGACAGAGGAAGGGGGAGAGAGAGAGAGAAACATCTATTGTTGTACCACTTATTAATGCATTCTCTATTTGATTCTTCTATGTGCCTGGACCAGGGATTGAACCCACAACCTTGGCATATCAGGACAATGCTCTAACCAACTGAGCTACCCAGCCAGGGCTATATTCAATTGTTGATAGATATGTATTTATTGCCATTTTGTTGTTCCTTTTTTTTTTTTTTTTTCCTTCTACTTCTTAAAGACCCTTTAACATTTTATATAAATAAAGAATCCTACTTCGCTGAAATTCATTTATCACGGTAAATTCTGGAACTGATTAACCGCAATAAACAAGGGCTGGCTGTACTGGTTTGGTGGTGATGAACTCCTTTAGTTTTCTTTGTCTGGGAAGCTCTTTATATGTCCTTCAGTTCTAAATAATAGCTTTGCTGGGTAGATTAATGTTGGCTACAGGTCCTTGCTTTTCATCACTTTGAATATTTCTTGCCACTCCCTTCTGGCCTGCAAAGTTTCTGTTGAGAAATTAGCTGACAGTCTTATGGGAGCTCTCTTGTAAGTAACTGCTTTTCTCTTGCTGCTTTTAAGATTCTCTCTTTGTCTTTAACCTATCGCATTTTGATGATGATGTGTCTTGGTGTGGGCCTCTTTGGGTTCATCATGTTTGGGACTTTCTGTGCTACCTGGACTTGTATGTCTATTTCCTTCACCAGGTTAGGGAAAATTTTTGGTGTGTTTTCTTCTAAGTTTTTTAAAAATATGTTTTCATTGATTTTAGAGAGAGAGGAAGGAAGAGGGAGAGAGAGATAGAAACACCGATGAGTGGGAAACATCAATCGGCTGCCTCCTGCATACCCCCTACTGGGGATTGAGCTGCAACCCAGGCATGTGACGGACCAGGAATCAAACCGGCAACCTCTTGGTGCACAGATGACACTCAACCAACTGAGCCACACCAGCCAGGCAACCAGGTTAGGGAACTAACTGTCATTTTTTTAACATAAGTTTTCAAATCCTTGCTCTCTCCTTCTGGTACTCCATGATGTGAATGTTGGTACACTTGAAGTTGTGCCAGAGGCTCCTTACACTACTCTCATTTTTTTGTATTTTTTTTTCTTTTTGCTATTCTAATTGGGTGTTTTCTGCTTCTTTATCTTCCAAAGAGTTTATTTGATTGTCTGCCTTCTCTACTCCAGTGTTGATTCCCTATAATGTAGTCTTTATATCAGTTAATGTAGTCTTCATTTCTGACTGGTTCTTTTTTATGTTTTCTAGTTCTGTTTTTATGTTTCCTATCTCTTTGTTCAATTTCTCACTAAGTTTATCTACTCTTCCCCTAAGTTCATTGAGCATTCTCATAATCAGTGTTTTGAACTCTGCATGTAGTAGATTGCCCATCTCCATTTTATTTCATTCTTTTTTTGGAGTTTTGTTTTCTTCTTTCATTTGGGACATGTTTCTTTTGTCTCCTCATTTTGACCACCTTGCTGTGTTTCTTTCTACATGTCAGGTAGAGCTGCTGCATCTCCCAGGATTGACAGAATGGCCTTATGTAGTAGGTGTTCTGTAGGGTCCAATGGCGCAGCCTCCCTTACCTCCCAAGCTGGTCACTCTAGGTGTGCTGCTGCCACCCTATCTTCCACCCCATGTGGAGTATGTACATGCTTCTGTTGTTGAGCCTTGATTGCTGTTGGCACATCAATAGGAAGGATTTACCCCCAGGCCAATAGCTGCAAGGGGGTGATCACTGGGGAGGATTAGCAGTGCAGAGGTCAACCCCATAGAGCAGGACTTTCTTCAGGGGGACTCTGGTGCCCACTGCGTCTACCCCTTGAGTGTTTCAATTGTGGAGGTGGTTGGGAGGTGCTTCAATGTGGTTAGAAACTGTCCATGGGGTGCACTGACTCTGGAGCCTCCCAAGAGGTGCAGATCAATGTCAGCCACCACCTATGTACTACCCAGGGCCACTTGGCCTGAGCTACAAAGTGGTCTGCACATGGCTGTTACTTGTGCTATGCTTCAAGGTGCATAGGAGAGGCTAAGCTGCAAACCAAGGCTGCCTGCTGCTAGTGTCAGGCCTGGGGCCACTTAGGGAGAGGTACGGGGTATGCAGGAACCAGATGCTGCTTGTTTGAGACTTTAGAAAAATTTGA